TCCGTTCGGTCCAACACTTGGTCCGTTCGGACTGAACTCTCTAGTCCGTTCGGTCCAACAATTTGGTCCGTTCGGACTAGATGCTCTGGTCCGTTCGGTCTACTCCTAGACCGGACAGTCCGGACCTCTTGTCCAGATTTCTCGACGTTTTCTCGTGCATTTGTCCTTCCCTGCGTGTGTGACCCTGTAGGCTCATTCGATATAGCAGTATAACCCAAAATCTCTATTTCGGATATACAAGTCATAGGCGGTCTCTAGCAAGACACTATGACTACCTATCTCGAATAGAGTTTGTTCGTGATCTTTACGAACGCCAGAGATGATTCCGGTTGATGATCCTTTTGTATCACGATATCATATGTCGAATATAAGGCATGGACAAGCCACCTTATCTGATTCGACTGCTTTCTCGTTCACTGAGTTCGACTGTCTGAAATAGACGACGTTCGTCTATAGTTCGGCCACACATTTCTACAGTCTCGCTCACTCGAGGGGCCCAGCGATATCTCTCTCTTTTACGAGAGGTACAAATCTCGTCTTGACTATCTACAATCCAGCACATGATTCGTTTCGTACCTGATACACGCCTTTATAGTCCTCATGTTACGCAGGACGTTTGACATAATCAAAGCACGCAACTCCTCATGTTGGATTCCGTAGATATCTCAGGTCTTAGGATCTAATCATGGAACCGCCATTTGAGATTCCAGTTATGACGCTAGTCCATGTGACAATTTCATGTGGGTCAATCCAGTATTCCGTTCTCCAACGAATACCTATGACTGTGATCGTATCCAAACACTTATGATCATCTATATGATCATCAATCACACATCATACTAGTCTTATTATGTCATCATTCCCATAATGACACAAGACTAGGGAGTTAAGTATCATTCATAATGATACATGGATTTCATAACACAACTAATATGCAAGAACATGTAATGAATCAAATACTCTCATAAACCATAGAAAGTATCAATACATCAAATGTATCTATATAAAGCTCATAAACAAAATATCATAGAGCACGAAACCAACAGATCATTCAGCGAAAACACCCAAATTGTTACAAAAAACGAAAACATAAACTACTAAGATTCAGTGAATTTAAAACTCATTTTAATTAAATTATCTTTCCATTCACAAAGTTAAATAATTGAAATTGAGGGGATGAATATAAATATGAACATTAATTATTTCAAATTAAAAATTCAAAACTATAAAATAACTACAAGTTCAGAGTCTCTGTATCCTAGCATCACCAGTTAGAAATCTCAAAGAGACAGAGAGATGTAATGTATGTAGATAACGGCATCGAATTTGTGCTCTATCATGATAAAATTTCTCCGGATTTGGAAGAATGTTAATACATGGCAGATGAAGAAAAGGTTGGATACGAGACGGATTGGAGGATGATAAGCATGTTGGAAGTGTAGAACAGCTTGACCGGGTAAGAACTCTATTGCCCACGAGAGTTCTTCAATCTCACGGGCAAAACAACAAGGAATCTTTGGAAGTAGATCACGATCAGGAAGATCAAGATAGTTTGAAAGCAAGTCAGTAACGTTCAGAAGGATTTGTCGGGAGAAAGCCATTATCGCACAAGTCAATTTGGTATTTTAGAGTGCTTGATCAAAGGTCCAATCCGATTGTTTCAGGTTTGTAATCCGATTTGATTGTACTTTTCTTTTGATCTGCTTCAATTATTTCGTTTATCCCAATCGCTTTTGGTCGATAAATTTTTGGAGATTTGGAATGAAACTACTCAAAGAGATCTCATTATACATATGTTGCAGGATGAAAGAATGAATGACACTTTTCATCGATCTAATGAGAAAGCAAGTGATATTGAATGATATAATACCACCTTTCAGTCTTTAGTTTTTTGCTTACATCCTTTGTGCTGAGAGGAGTCTGATGATGATAACCATGAGGATTAATCTTTCCTAGCAGCCAGAATGATATAATACCACCTTTCAGTCTTTAATTGTTGTTATAATAACTTCAGAGGAAGACTGACTGAAACATATAGTAATATAATATATATATATATTTTAATAAAATATTATTAAATTTTATACCCTTTTACTGAACAAAAATTATAGATTTTTTTTCAATTTTATCAAAAAAATAATTTATACTCAGAGAAAGTCAACTAATACATATACACATATATGTATATGTATATATATACATATATACATATTGACACACATTTATCCATATACATATATACATATACATTTTTCTATACATGATATATGCACAAACACATATATATATATATATATATATATAAGTATAAGCATATGGATGTAGATATGATTGTACAGACATGTCATACATTTGTTATCTTACATTATTATGTAAATAAATTAAAAAATAATAAAATTTTATAGATACATACATATATGCAATATGCATCGATTTGACCATGAAATTTCAAACTTGGACTATCGTGATTCGTGATAAGAATTTTTTTTGTTGATCTGAACTCATGGTTTTGATAGTGCATTGAAGTTGAGTATTTATATATACATTTTAAATTTTGAGTATTTACTTATACTGAAAAATAGATGGTATCAGAAGCATTTTCATTGTATTCATCTTGTGTTTTTTAGATTCTTCGTGACCTGTATTATAAAAGAAATTAAAAAATTATGACAAAACTCACATAAATGTTATAGTAAATTTTAAAAGTGTCTAGTCGGATTCAAAGATGAAATGGGTTGTGAATATTCTCTGGTAACTTTTGATATATACTCTATGGAAGAAAAAAAACTCTAGACTACACACACAACTTTTCTTATCAGACTCAGCGATACTCAAGGAGATAGACAAAGATTTTCCAAATTCCATAGGGTTGAGGACTTTTTTCAATACACGTATTCCTCTCTAAACTATAAAAATTAGAAAAGGAAAAAAAGATTCCAAGAAGCGGCGGCTCGAGCCTACGACCAAGCCGCGGTTATGATGAACGGCCAAAACGCCAAGACGAACTTCCCCGCCGGCAAATCCGACGGCTCTCATCAGACGGATGCCATGATAGTATGAGGATGAAGGTCAGATTGCAGAACTCAAGAAAGGAGATAAAGAACAGAAACCCAGAAAGAAATAAACGAGACTTTGGAAAAATGAATTCTCTTTTGTATATTCAAAATTGGAACTTTACAATGTTTTATATACATAAATAAAGAATGAGACAATGCCAAAACACGATAACTCTATTGATCAACCTAAAAAGGGTATGTGTCTCCTCCATGCTTGCCCCTAAGAGAAAGTGACATATACCAAGATTACACCTTTCGCGTGTTCGGTTTAAAATCAATCGAATAACCAAGTAAACCAAATTATACTTCATGATATTTTTCTTGGTTTTGTATGTGTGAACAGATAATTGAAGAGAGAACTCTTTAGGATAAAATTTTGTCAAACTCTTTGTTTAATAAATAATAGAACGAGATTTGGATGGCGATTCGTCGGTATTTTGCAAACCGCAAAAGCATATTGAACGCTAATGCGAACGCATCTTTAAGCAATTTCTCTTCGTATAGAACAACCAATAATTATCACCTATATAATATCAGATTTTATCAAAAGCTTATGATATGGTTAGTCTATCTTTCCTTTTTTTTCTTTGATTAAGATCTTTTTTTCTTTACTATGGCTTAGTCAAAAACCATATTGTTGATAGATTATATAACAAACTGCTATGTAATTCTAAAAAGACGACGAAACATTTTTTTTTTAAAAAAAGAAAGAGCATAAAAAATTGACTGAACGATGTACGATTACAAAATTCCTATGTTTCAGAACTCTATAATAATATCCAAAATAGGATATTCCAAAAATATTTTTATATGGAGACAATAACAGTAATCTAAAATAAACAAAGAATTATAATTTTTTATGGGGTATTATTTAAAAATTTATCCTAAACCCTTAAGTAATTTTCATTGTTTTAGGATCATAATAAGAGTAATTTATATTTTTTTGAAATGATAATTGGGGCCGTGATCTCTTCCTAATACATGGGTCCGCTCATGTGTATATAACCATATATATATATGTATATAGATACGTATGTATGTATATATATGAATGTGCGTATATATAAGTGTATATATTTTTCCTTTTTAACTATTTTTTATTTTTAAAATAAGAAAATAACATGATTATATATATATATGAATGTATATGTATATATTCTAAATAAAAGGTTAGTCGTTTCAAATTCTATTAGAATCTAGATCTGACAAATCTCACTTTATTTGAATTTTTAACTCTTATAATTGATAGTATATGACACAATAATATACGTATCACGTATGAAAACCTAAATCAACTCTTTCATTATATAAGCAAATATTTTAAGATAGACCTTGAAGTATCATGTAAAATAAATGATGGGATGATAAGAACAATAAAAAATAAATTTAGCAAAATACAAGTCGAACTAAGTGAAAAGTCCAAATTAAATACGACTCGAACTCATATATATTTAAATTAAAAGTGAATATATTTTATACGAATTGTTGAACTAATATTATTGTGATAAAATATACATAAAACACAAATATGATACAATATTTGTTTTTATGTTTTATAGTATAAAGATGACAAATAAAAAATAATAGGACCTATATCATATTTCAATATTTTATTTTATATCATAACACACGAAAATAAAAATATAAATGTCATTCATAATCATTTTTAGAGAAAAAATATCGTTATCTCAATAATTTTAAAAATTATTTATCATTTCAAATATAAAAACAATATATAATATATTTAATTTTAAAATCAATAATAAAAGTTTTTAAAATTTATATATATTTATAGTTCGCGCGATGCGCGGGGTTAATAACTAGTAAACATATAAATACAATATCAACGTGACTAGTTGATCGTTTCCTTCTTTTTCCATATCAATAAAAATGATGGTTACACTTACAGTTACAACATTCACACTTCGCAATAATATATATAATCATGAATAACACACTATATAATAACAACAAAAAAATCCCCCAAAAAAAAATACATTGAATCAAATATAAAACCTCTCAGTAAGGCAAAGGGTTTGGACCGCTCGGTACGAGCCGTTTCTCGTCTCTATACCAATGGCCGGATTCTTGTCCGGCCGCCTACAGACAGGTGATGTCGATGCTTTTTAGTTACAAATTCTCAAAATGCAGAGAAAGAACACACGATCAAATGGAATCCAAATATTATTCTTCTTTTCTTTTTCAAAGGAACAGATGATCTCTCTGGTATTCACGTACTATCACCGGTACGCTCGTCCTCGGCATCTGACATCCCGATATATAAAAATAACCACCCCTTATCAGAATATAAAACCCGAATCCATGCCATTTCTTTAAAACCGAAAAATCAAACCCGGACCATATATAAAAATAACCGGAATTTTGTTTGAAAAATTAGGATTTCTATAGATAAAAACCGAACCAAACTGAAATCCAATGTAAGAACTGAATGGGTATAGTTTCCCTAAAACCTAAATAATAGAACCCCTAAGTTTAACGTATTTAGTAGACGTACACACCCGTAATCTGTGATGACCATTGATATATATTCTGATGGCGTTCCGTCGTACCTGAGAACTAGAGAAGAAAAAACCGAAAGGGTTGAGACGAATTTCAAAACTTTCTTCTTCAGGGAGATCTAAGAATTGTTATGAAGGTTTTACATTAGATTCAGAAGTTGGAGCTTTTCGCCCTTGTTACTCCTCTCCTTCAGAAGTTTTATGCCTACTCCTCCTGAATCGTTGGCTATAACGTCTGGATTGCCTGTGAAATCACTCGGTTGTGCACCCTGTTATCATCTGGTTTTGGGGGGGAACAAAAAATCTACGGGTCGGCATTCAGTTCGGTTATACATAAATCGAATCAATCTGAACCAAATAACATGTAAGTGTAACCGAACTAAATCCAATATAAACAACGAATGGTTATGATCTTTCTAAAACCGAAAAACCGAATCCAAACCGATTATAAAAGAAACCAGAAAAACCGAAACCGTCATTGGAAAATGAGCATTTTTACCGTTAAAAAACCGTACCAAACCTAATACACAAACCGAATGGACATAGGTTATCTAAAGCCGGAAAAAAAAACCCGAATATAACCGAACGAAAACCAAAATATCCACCCCTAAGAGGTTTTAGTATTACCTAATTCGTTGGAACAGATGGAATCGAGGAGCACTCGTTCTTGGAATTTGTATGCTTCGCAACACACGATGACTGGAACGCTAAAAGCATGAGCGGTCATTGCAATGCAAGCTGTTCCGACCCTTGAGTACAGAGTCCCATTCGAGAAGACGGAAGAGGCCCCGAGAAAAACCCGAGTAGTTTATGGGAGTGTATGTACAGTCGAGGCCTCTACTCACCAGACCACGGAGTAGTTTCTTCCCTTCATGATTAGGGCGAGAATCCACAACCACGACACGGAGTCCTTTTCCCGTTTCGTGAGCGTATGAGAGAATCTGATAAGTGTCCCACATTGGAAGATGAGAGGGATTTGGGCCAATATATAAGTAAGGGTCAAACCTCCACTCTTAAGCTAGCTTTTGTGGTGGAGTTATGACCTAAACCTTATTAATTGGTATCAGAGCCTAACTCTCTACTTTCCGGTGGGCCTTTGACGGGTCGTTCTCCTGCGGACATACGGTCGACTCGGTGGTTGTGGGACGGTCGGGAGAGGAACGGTCGGGAGAGGAACGATCAGGAGAGGAACGGTCGGGGATGGACCGAGAAGCCGCCAGTGATCGAGAACCCCCCACGGCCCGAGAAGCCGCCAGCGACCAGATTTGCCCCAGCGCCGTGGACGTCGCTGTCTAAAGGGGGCGGTATTGATAAGTGTCCCACATTGGAAAATGAGAGGGATTTGGGCCAATATATAAGTAAGGGTCAAACCTCCACTCTTAAGCTAGCTTTTGTGGTGGAGTTAGGGCCTAAACCTTATTAGAATCATCTCGACCACGCAGGAAAACCCGTATGTCATAATAACATCCCCTTTCCCTGATTTTCTTCACAGCATGCTGTACTATCGCCCTGTCGGCAAGAATTATCTTCTCGTTTATGAACCGGTAAATGTCAGAACAGAGTGAAGCTTTTGCCTCTGATTCTGATAGGTTTACAGGTAGACCCGAGACCCGGCTCTTCAGGAACCTGATTGCATTTCCCATGCTAATGGAGAGTGGACGGCACTCTATCAAGAACCAGACGTAACTGTTTATCTTGGCAGACAAATCCATGGTTAGGATCTTGTTCGGGGGAGTAGAATAGTCGTTTATAGCTTCGTGAAATGCTTGGAGCATCGCGATACACCGGGCATTGCCCCCGGATATATCACCAGCCAAATACTGCAAACCCACCTAAGAAAGAAATACAAGCAAGGTTTATATACACATGTTATCTAAGGGTAACAGCTTTCAATAATCAGAATGAAAACGAGAGCTGGAAAATTTTCTCTACATTACTGTGTGATCTTACACATGTATTTATACAGCAAATCTGCCTCTAACAAACTCTAACAAACTCTAAATCAATACAAAATGCGTGGAGAATCCACAATATAAACCAAAGAGAATAAAAATGAACCGGGTGATTGGTACACTAAATACAAACCGAATAAAAAATAAGGACTCTCCTATACTCTGTTTTATGTAACCAAAAACAGAGTATCGTGACCTTATGCACAGAACCACCGAGGAGGAAAAAGAAGAGTATTGTGGATGCTGATACTCCCCCTCAAGATGGGCTGAAGATGTCATGAATGCCCATCTTGGATAATAACCGAACAAATAAATCTCCTGCCAATGGTTTAGTCAATACATCCGCAATCTGATCTCGAGAGGTGACGTGCAGAGGTTTGAGAAAACCGTTCTTCAGTTGATCGCGTACAAAGTGGCAGTCGATCTCTATGTGTTTGGTTCTCTCATGGAAAACCGGGTTATTAGCTATATGCAGTGCAGATTGACTATCGCAGTATAATGTCACAGGCAAAGGAATAATAATCTTCAAATCTTTAAGTAAACCAGAAAACCAAATAAGCTCAGAAGAAGCCTGTGCCATTGCCCTATATTCTGATTCTGCACTGCTGCGCGAAACAACTTGTTGTTTCTTTGATTTCCATGCGACTAGTGAATTCCCGAGGAAAACACAGAAACCCGAAACTAACCGACGTGAATCTGGACAGGCCGCCCAATCCGCGTCTGTATATGCACTTAGTCGAATGGCAGAATTAGTAGGATAAAGCAAACCCTGAGCTGGTGAACACTTAAGATATCGAAGCACCCGATGAGCAGTAGTTAAATGGTGTGTTCTTGGTTGAGACATAAACTGGCTCAACTTTTGAACAACATAGCTGATGTCTGGACGTGTAACTGACAGATAAATCAATTTCCCAATCAATTTTCTGTAATGAGTGACATCCGATAGAAGATCACCAGATTCAGCAGATAACTTGTCCTTGGGATCCATTGGTGTGGATGCTGGTTTGCTTCCCAGAAAACCAAATTCATCCAGGAGTTCAAGGGCATACTTGCGCTGACATATGTGAATTCCAGATTTGGATCTCGCAATCTCAATGCCTAAGAAGAAACGCAGAATACCCAGATCTTTGATCTGAAAGTTGGAGCTTAAGAGATGTTTGGCAGATTCTATCATGGTAATGTTGTTACCAGCAATTAACAGATCATCCACATAGACTAGTATTGCAACAAAACCATGCTCCTCGTGTCTGACAAACAATGAGTTGTCAGAATGTGACTGAAGATAGCCACCAGTAACCAGAGTATGAGATAACTTAAGGTTCCATTGCCTAGAAGCTTGTTTCAAACCATACAGGGATTTTCTGAGTTTACATACTGCCTGATCAGAATGCAGCTCCCCCTGAAGTTCACAATATCCCGGAGGCAACAGCATGTAGATGTCTTCAGATAAATCACCATGGAGGAACGCATTCGATACATCCATTTGGTGAAGATGCCAGTTCTGAGCAGATGCCAATGCCAGCAGTGTCTGGACTGTAGACATCTTAGCCACTGGGCTAAATGTGTCCACAAAATCGATACCCTCGAGTTGAGAGTAGCCCTTTGCTACTAAATGTGCCTTGTACTTGTCGATGGACCCATCAGCCTTATGCTTTATTTTATAAACCCATTTGCAGCCAATGGGAGTTTTGTCAACTGGCAGAGAACATACCTCCCAAGTATTATTACGAGACAAAGCATCCAGTTCAATTATCATATAGCCTTTCTCCATTGATCAGATGTTACGGCCTGTTTAAAAGAACGAGGTTCTGTTTCCGTAGAAATGGCAAGGGAAAAGGCTTTATAGTGGGGTGAAAGAGAATCATAAGAGATATAAGAAGAAAGAGGATGTGTTGTAATCTTGGATTCATGTGATGGGTTAGGGTGAGAGAGGAGATAACAGTGGTAATCGAAGAGATATGTGGGTTGTTTTGTTGGTCGCTGCGACCTTCTATTGTTATCTGCCTTATACTCATTAGAAGATACAGGAGGTGTGTCCTGACTAGGAGGTGCGGGAAATGAAGGAGAAGTAAAAGTTGGTTGTCTGTCAGGGACTTCAGAATCATATAGAAAGAAAGGAGATAATGTGGTATGAAAAAAAGATAGAGTTGCAGACGAGAGAGGGGTAGATTTAAAGGGGAAGACATGTTCATGAAATGTGACATGTCGAGAAATGGAAATGACATTGGACTCCAAGTTAAGCACCTTGAATCCTTTGACACCTGGGGGATATCCTATAAAAACATGAGGAATAGCTCGAGGAGAAAATTTGTGACGAGAATGAACAAGAGTAGTGACATAACACAAGCAACCAAAAACCTTTAGATGAGAATATGAAGGTTTTTGTTGCATGAGACATTCAAAAGGAGATTTGTGTTTGAGAGTGGGTGTCGGAGTTCTGTTTATTAGATAAACTGCAGTTTCGATGCATTCACTCCAGTAATCTAAAGGAATATTGGATTGAAATAAGAGAGCCCGAGCCACATTTAATATGTGTTGGTGCTTCCGTTCTACTACGGAATTTTGCTCAGGTGTGTAAGGGCAGGATTTATAGTGTATCATACCCTGTTCTTGAACAAGTTTGGGAAAAGAAAATTCTGGGGCATTGTCTGAACGAAAGGCTTTGACAGATGCATTATATTGGGTGTAAACATGTTTTATGAACTGTGGAAATAAAGAAACAGCATCATGTTTACTACGAAGCATATATATCCATGTCACCCTAGTACAATCATCAACTATCGAAAGGAAATAGCGATGTCCGTGTATAGAAGGCAAATAGAAAGTGCCCCAAGTATCCAAATGGACAAGGGCAAAAGGTTCAGATGAAAAAGAACTAGAAGAGGGAAAAGAAAGTTTGCGCTGTTTTGCTAACGAGCAAATAGAGCAATGAGGAAGAGATGTTGGCGTCGGAGTAAACTGGAGCTGAGAAGTTTTACCCAGAGCCTGAATGCGTAAAAAGGAGGGATGACCCAACCGAGAGTGCCAGAGTTCAGCAGAGTCTAGGGAAGAGATGGCAGTGCAGAGTGAAGAAGGAAGAAGAACAAAACATGGCCGAAAACCCTGCACATCCAAAAGATAGAGGTTGTTTTCTTGTCTACCCTTCCCAATCTTCAAGGCCCGAGTAGGGTCCTTAATAATGCAGGAATCGTGACAAAAGGAAACAACAAATGAGTCAGTCGAAGTTAAAGAACTTACGCTTAATAAATTGAAATGAAATGTTGGAACATAAAGAACAGACCTGAGCACCAAGTCAGGGGATAAGGTGACAGTTCCAGAAAAAGAAACAGACACTAATGAACCATTTGGTAAGGTAATCTGAATAGGATTGATGAGTTTAAAGGCAGAGAACAACTTTAAGTCGCAGCATATATGATGACTAGCACTAGAATCCAAGATCCAAATATTAGGTGAGCTAGGTCGAAAAGAAATAGCTGAAAAAATAAAAGGGGAAAAAGAAGGTATACCTGAAGAAGTAGGTTTGGATGAAGGAGAGGCAACATCTGAATCAGTAGGAGAAACACCAAGATTCTTGATCTGATTTAGCAAATTCTCGAACAATACTTGAGCTTGTTCCAGAGTAAACTGACCAGAAGTAGGAGAAGAAGCCATCATGGGATTCTTATGCTCAGAATGAACCAAGTTCACAGGATTCTGATATTTATCCATTCGAGGGTAGGTAAAAGAGGGGGTTTTGAAGAAAAGGTGTTTGGTGATCTGGAAGAGGGTGGATACCCGTGCAACTTGTAGCAACGAGTAATGGTATGTCCGGTCATACCACAATGAGCACAAACAGGTTTGGACTTAGAAAAAAAAGGTTTGGGGCGATTAGAAGGCTGAGCATAAGCTTGAAAAACGACGGGTTCAGAAGAGGGTAAGGAGTGGCGATGTTGTTCTTCCTGAGCTACAAGGCTGTAAGCTCGAGTAATATTAGGTAGTGGGTCCATCATCAAAATCTGGCGTCTCGCTGGGTGGTAATACTCATTCAGTTTCATCAAAAACTTCACCACATTCTTTTTTTCACATATCTCAATAAGTCTTTTATTGGCCAGACAAGTGCAACCCCCACAAGAGCATATCGGATAAGGTTCATACATCTTCAACTGTTCCCATAAGGCTTTCAGCTTTGTGTAAAACACACTGAGACTTAATGAACCTTGCTGCAGGGATTCTAGTTGTTGTTCTAGATGAAAAACTTTAGAATCATTCTTCTGTTTATAGCTTGTTTCAAGAATAGTCCAGATTTCATTTGCATCATCAATATTCATTACCAGACTTGCAATATCAGGAGACAGAGAATTAGTCAGCCAGTTTCCAACCAAGGCATTACAACGGAGCCAGGCTCCATGATCAGCATGATCCTCGGCAGGTTTAGGGATAGTACCAAAAATAAAGTCCAATTTATTTTTGGCCATCAGTCCCTTAATGATAGAACGAGACCAGAGATTATAGTTTACCTCGCCCAAGAGCTTTTCGGAAGCTAGAGAAATGCTTGAAGAATCCGCCGCATGAAGATACAGGGGATTGACATATGGATCAAGGGGGGAAGAAGGAGGCGAAGGAGTGAGTGTGGGAGCAACATCAGAGGCAGACGAAGAATCCGAAGCCATGGGAAAAATAAAAAATCACAGAGAGGAAGATCTGGGAGAGAAAATGGCGAGAAGAGGAAGCTTTGCTATTGCTCTGATACCATAACAGCTTTCAATAATCAGAATGAAAACGAGAGCTGGAAAATTTTCTCTACATTACTGTGAGATCTTACACATGTATTTATACAGCAAATCTGCCTCTAACAAACTCTAACAAACTCTAAATCAATACAAAATACGTGGAGAATCCACAATATAAACCAAAGAGAATAAAAATGAACCGGGTGATTGGTACACTAAATACAAACCGAATAAAAATAAGGACTCTCCTATTCTCTGTTTTATGTAACAAAAAACAGAGTATCGTAACCTTATGCACAGAACCACCGAGGAGGAAAAAGAAGAGTATTGTGGATGCTGATAAAGGGTTTTATCACCGAGAGAAAGATTTGATCATGTCTCCGAATTTCAACATTCAACCCTCTTCATTTCGGTTGAAAAGATCAAACACTAAACATAAACGAGTAAGTTTACCTTGTAGACAGCAGGATGTATGGTATCGAGGGTGGAAATTTTGGAGCTTAGATTTGGAAGCTGTGTGCCTCGCTCGTATTGAGGGAGATGGCGGAACAGTTCTACTCTGTTCTTGCTCTCAGGTCTGTCCAACGAACGCACGCCTCTTAGCTTTCTCCACTCGGCTCTTACCAGCGGCAGAAGCAGAAATAGGCGGCGAAGATGTCGATCCCGGCGGACCGGATTGAGCCCGACACGGTCGCTGCGGATCAGGCGGCGGCGGCGGCTCGTCGGACGTGAAGAAACCAACACGAGGGACATTGGGGACGGCGAGAGATCCGCGGCGCCAATCCATTGGAGGACGTTGCTCGATCTCTAGGGATTGATCGAAACGCGAAATGAAGGTAAACTAGGGTTTATCAGAAATGATCGATTTACCACATCGGAAGGATACCGAGAGAGAGAGAACTTCATCCAAGTGGAAATTATGTAATTAAAAATAAATTGATTTAATTTTGTATTGATGATATAATACACGCTCTTCTATTTTATCAACGCAACAAAAAAAGCCTTATTAATGTAAGATTGATATCATATTATCAACGATTTCCGACTATTATTAATTTGTTAATATCGATTTTTGCTTAGCAAATGAGACAAATATAAGATATAAGAGATTGAGAGAGATGATATATATAAAAGAATTATATAGATAAATAAAAAAACTAATCAGGGTTTGCATTATTTTGTACAAAACAATTGAAAAAAATGAAAAATATTTCGTCTAATTTGAAAAAACTCTTATTTTTTTTAAAAAAAAAAGAAAAATTAGAATATTAATACCTAAACTTATCAAATTTATCTAAATAAAACATAATTTTAATTTTTGCATTTTAAAAATCGAATTTTGATATTTCATTTTTAAATAAACCTAAACTTTATAAATCATGTCAAATTTAACCAAAAACGCTGATATGACAATTTGAATGATGAGGTAGGAATTTTGAATTGGTCTACGTAATAGATAACATGGCAACATTTTATCAAAACCAAAATTATCAGGTCATCGTTCAAATTACCATGTCAAATTATAGAATTAAATTTGACATGTTTTACAAAATTCAGATTTATTTAAATATAAATATCAAAGTTTGGATTTTAAAAAGACAAAAAATAAAGTTGGGATTTTATTTTGGAAATTTTCACAAGTTCAACAATTAATCTTCTAATTTTCCAAAACAATAATAGCTTTGCATTGTTTACCATGAGATAACATATTTTATCTTAATTGTAATATTATCAATTATCCTTGCATGAATTTTCCCCCGTTTAACTGTAAAAAAAAAATCATGCTAAAATAATTGCGTAATTGGGCTAAAATTGGGATACGGTCTGTCCATATACTCAAGTCATGCAAGCCCATAAAGGCCTAAGTGTTTGAATTTTTTTTTTATAAATAGTTGCATGATATTTATAGCCAGAATAAAAAATAAAAATGTTAAATTCTTTAAAGGGTTATAAAAGAAAATACACCTTCACATAACAAGGTAATTGCCACGCAATGCGTGGTGATTGTAATAATTTTCTAATAAAACAATTATGTTAACAAAATATTAGAGGTGAGTGTTTCGGTATTCGGTTTGGGAATGGTTTAATTAGTTCGATTCTTTTAATTTTATGAAAATATATATATACACCAATCGGTTATTATATTATATTCGGTTCGATTTGGTTTCTATTCTAATTTGATTCCAGTTTTTATTAAAAAAAATCTAGATTTTTTTAAGAAATTTTTTACTTTCTGATTTTTTTAAAATTCGATCGATTCGATTCGGTTCTAGAAAATTCGATCTTTTAAAAATAACATTGTTTGTAAATTTTGAACGGTTTAGATTGAGAAAAATACCGTATTTTTCGGTTAAACACGATTTGATTCCAAAGAACCTTATTGAAATATCTAACCAAAAAAATATCTCTTGTCTATCTCAAATTATATACTGATTTCTTTTAGTTTTCTTATTTTTTAAAAGAATTTATAAGTTATAAGAAACAAAAAAAATTATAGAAGATCTACCTTGAGTTTTTTTTTCCTGACGAATTTTATACTGAGAATTTTCTCTGTTTGTTATATGAATCTGTTTTCCCCTCTTATATAATACACGTATTTTTGTTACTAAGATATAATTAGCGCGAATATATCAATGTTTTATATAGAAAATATCGCTGTTATTGTTTAATATTTTTCTTTAATAAACATATTAAATCTACTAATTAATTTCTATCGATAAAGTCTTTTCATGTATTCCTCGATTTATTTTTACTACAGTATTTTAAATTTTTAACTAGACATTAGGTCAAACAACAAAAGTTTTTCTCGTTTCCTCTCTCCTTACTTATTTTTATGTGTATGGAGTATGCCAAATTTGGACAATTTGTTCTGTAAAAATACATTACAGATTTTTTTTTTGATGTAAAAATACATTACAGTTTTCCAACAAAAAAGTATATTGAATTAATATTTTTGTTGTCAAGCTGTCTACACATTTTGGTAAAAAATAGAATTATGTATTAGCAAATAACATATAAATACAATATCAGCGTGACTAGTTGATCATTTCCCTCTTTTTTTCACATCAATAAAAATGATGGTTTTACACTTGCAGCATTCACACTTCACAACATATAATCATGAATAACACACTATATAATAACAAGAAAAATCATACATAAAAACCTCTCAGTGATGCAAAGGGTTTGGACCGCTCGGTACGAGCCGTTTCTCGTCTCTATACCAAAAGCCGGATTCTTGTCCCATCGGTCCAAACAGACGGTGACGATGATGATGACGTTGATACTTTTTCTTTAGAAAAGGCGTAAAATCGAATTTACCTGCCAGAATTTTCTTGACACCAAAATTTTTTATCATAATATCGCAAGATTTATGATTATTTATCGCGGTATAAGTACAAGATATCATAAGAATGATGAAGAAGGAGAGGGATAGAGAGATGCAAATGAAGAGATTGTAGGGTTTCTGTTTTTTCATGGCCTAATATCGATAAAGAAGGAGGAGAAGCAAGAGAGTTCATGGAGATAGAGAGAAAGAGATGGTGATTTGAGATTATGGTAATTGTTTCGTTAATTTGCAAGAAAGTGCAGCTAAAAGCTAGGAGAGAAAGCAATTTAATAATTTATTATTATAATCTCATGTAATCAAGAAAAGGAAAGTAACTAAATTAATGTAATTATTATGCACTTAATCAAAGGATTATTGGAACATTTGTGTATGGAATTTATGAAAGAAAAAAAAAATATTGCATGGAGAGGAGGAAAACGTGAGTCAAAAGCTTCCTTTACGTTTAAGGAAGATATGGGTGGCGCCATTAAAAGAGGCAAAATAGTCAAAATTTATTTTAATTAATTAATTAATTAATTACTTAGTATTTGGCACCATGACCTGTTTGGGGGATTATCTCTTTTACCCTCAATGTGCTAAATGGACTTCTACATCTACCCTCCTCCTATCCAAAAAAAAAATTTACTTCCAAAATACCCTCTCAAATGTACATTGACCAAAATAACCTTATAATATTATTTTATATTTATTTTTTAAAATAAAAATCAGTATTCTCTCTCCTCAAAACTAGGATTTCTCTCTCCTCCATTCTTCTCTTTCGATTGAAGCTTTCTCTCTCTACATTATTTTCTCTCTCCTCTGAAATTGGGATTTTTTCCTCAAATTTTGACAAAATCATAGCAAAATCTGTATGAAATCAAACAGAAACTTAGAAATATATAAGCGGCAGTCGAAAATCCCCGTCTTTTTATGAATATTGATGGTTTTAACGTTTTTTTGTATATATTTTTTTTATTATTTACTAAGCTTTGTCATAGATCCATATCAAATCTGTGTTTAAGTGTTTTTAGAATATAATTGAGTCATGGATCACACAGTTATCTATCACAATAGTCAAAGTGGACATATAGAGCACAAAGGTAACAATGTGCATATCGTTCATGGATTACAACAATAATACGGATCACAATAGATAGGTCATAAAGGTTACATACGGGCACATAGTCATATGGGTCACGAGCCATTAGGATAATGATTGACATAGATCATTAGGGTGATAAGGTCATATGGTCACACGGTCCCATGGTCACGTGGTCACACGGTCTCATGGTCACATAGTCACATAGTCACATGGTCTTTAAAGCCTAACATCGTATATTGACAAAGTGTTACGTGAATGGTAGGAGAACGTCTACAACAGGAGGAGAGAGAAACCGCAAAATGATAACGGTTGTGAATGTGGTATTTTTGCAATAAAGTATATTGATGCAATTTATCTTGGTAAACAACAAACGTTATGTCCCTTGATATGTGCGATAATGTCTCCATGATTCATGAGTAGTTGGCAGCCACAATATTTGTTCATGGCAAGGTGACGAAAAAAACGTGAATTTTCTTTTTACCAAGTGACTTATTTTTTGTGTTTGGACATTAACTATGACCCCCTTTTATTTGTTTCGTAAAATCCTAAATTATGAACTTTAATTTTTTGTTTTTGATTATTTTGTATCTGAATTTATATATGAACTTGTCGGCGAGAACGCCTAATTTGTATCTGAACTTATTTATGAACACATTATTATATCAATACAGTACATCATTAATTATTCAAAGGAAACATTAACATCGACAATGTCGGAGAGAACGCCTAATTTGGAATGAAGAGACAAAATTTATTTAATAATGGTGTACTTTATTTTGTGTAATAATGTGTTAAAAAAATTTGTATAATAATGTCCAAAAATATTTGTATAATAATGTTATATTGTGTTTGTACAATAATGTATAAAATTTTTTGTATAATAATGTATTAAAATAATTCTGAGTAAATATAGTTACCCAATAATTACTATTTATTTTAGCATATATGTGACTCTTATTACACACTAAATAAGTTGACTCATATGAGTCATCGTTGTGACCCATTGTGACCAGCCTGTGATCATGTGACCGAAGTGCAATTTTGCACTGTGTGACCATTGTGACCGACTGTGACCTGTGACCGAAATGTATTGATAAATCTAGGTCAAAATTCAGTTTTTAAACTTTGGGATGGTTTATCAGAGTCTATATATCAAATATATAGCGTGTATGAAAAATTTTCAAAATATTTTAAGGGGTTTGTAAATGAAATATACCAAATTTATCAAAGTTACTCATAAAACATTATGAAACATATAGGAATACATTTGGAATAACAACTTTGAAACATAAAAATAGTAAAAACTATATTTTAATGTTCGAAACAATATAAAATAGGTTTATGAGAGACGTGTAACATTGTAAAGTGATTAAATTAATAAAAATCGCATGGATCGAAGGTTGTGACCGACTGTGACCCATTGTGACCGAAATTTACTGTGGGGTCCACATGAAGAACTAGTCAG